TTTGTTTGTTTGTTTTAATATATTTTTATTGATTTCAGAGAGGAAGGGAGAGGGAGAGACAGAAACCTCAATGATGAGAAAGAACCACCTCCTCCTGCACGCCCCCCACTGGGGACTGAGCCCGCAACCCTGGAATGTGCCCCCGATCGAAATCGAACTCAGGACCTTTCAATCCGCAGGCTGATGCTCTATTCACTGAGCCAAACGGGCTAGGGTGAATGTGTTTTGTTTGTTTGTTTGTTTGTTTTATGTTAACAAAGGTCTTGCCTCTATTTGATAGCTGCTGACGGATCAGAGTGGTAGTTACTGAAGGTTGGGGTGTCGGTGGCAATTTCTTAAAACAACAAAGAAGAATTGAAGTTGAAGTCAATTGAAGTCAACTTCAATTGTAGTCAATTAAAGTTGGCCACATCAATTAACTCTTCCTTTCATGTGTGATTTGTCTGTAGCATGGGTTGCTGTTTTATAACATTTTACGCACCCTCTTTCCAAATTGGAGTCAGTCCTCTCAAACCTGGCTGCGGCTTTATGAAATAACCGTATGTCATCTTCTAAATCCTTTGTTGTCATGTCAACAATCTGCACAGCATCTTCACCAGGAGTAGATTCCATCACAGGAAACCCCTTTCTTTGCTCTTCCATAAGCAGCATCTCCTTATGCATTAAAGTTTTTTCATGAGATGCAGCAATTCAGTCACATCTTCAGGCTCCACTTCTAATTCTAGTTTTCTTCCTGTTTCCATCACATCTGCAGTTACTTCCTCCACTAAACTCTTGAACCCCTCAAAGTCATCCATGAGGGTTGGAATCAATCTCTCCCAAACTTCTTATAATGTTGATATGTTGACCTCTTCCCATGAATCATGAATGTTCTTAATAGCATCTAGAATGGTGAATCCTTTCCAGAAGGTTTTCAGTTTACTTTGTCCAGATCCATTAGAGGAATCACTACCTATGGCAGCTATATATAGCCTTGCAAAATGTATTTCTTAAATAAATAATACCTGCTAAGCACAAAAAGCAAAGTGCAATAAAATGAGGTATGCCTGTTCTCTGTTACAAAGGGAGGGGATTCTGTCCTCTGAGACAGACTCCCTTTAAAAAGTATACAAAGGAGCTCTCTTGGGTCCTCGATTCTAAGATAACCAAGAAAAGAAGGAACAATGGTTGTGCCAAAAAAGGCCGTGGCCATGTGCAGCCTATTCACTGCACCAGCTGCACCCAGGGACAAGGTCATTAAGAAGTTTGTCATTCGAACCCTGGTGGGTGTGGCTCAGTTGGTTGGGCATCATCCTGTGCACAGAAAGGTTGCCGGTTCCATTCCCAGTCAGGGCACATGCCCAGGTGTCAGGCTCGATTTCCACCAATGGGGGGCGTGCAGGAGACAGCCTATCAATGTTTCCTCTCACACTGATATTTCTCTCTGTCTTTCCCTCTCCCACTCTTTCTAAAATGAATGTAAAAATACCCTCAGGTGAGGATTAACAAGAAAAGAAAGGGCATAAAAGGCCTGCCCCACCCAGGGCCTGGGGAAGCCGTCAGCCAGCTCTCACCCTGCAGGGATGACCTCCACCACGACCTTGCCCGTGGAGTGCTGCCTGGGCTCCAAGGCCTGGAAGCCGACCAAGGTACTAGAGCCCGGTGCACAAAATTCGTGCACTGGGGGCAGGGGGTTGTCCCTCAGCCCAGCCTGCACCCTCTCCAATCTGGGACCCCTTAAGGGATGTCTGACTGCCTGTTTAGGCCCGATCCCATGCCCAATCCCTGTGGGATTGGGCCTAAACGGGCAGTCGGACATCCCTCTCACAATCCAGGACTGCTGGCTCCCAACCGCTCACCTGCCTGCCTGATTGCCCCTAACCACTTCTGCTGGCCAGCCTGATCACCTCCTAACCACTCCCCTGCCAGCCTGATCAACACCTAACTGTTCCCCTGCTGGCCCAATCGCCCCCAACTGCCCTCCCCTGCCGGCCCCCTGCCAGCCTGGTCACCCCCAACTGACCTCCCCTGCTGGCCTGGTCACCCCTAACTGCCCTCCCCTGCAGGCCTGGTTGCCCCTAACTGCCCTCCCCTGCAGGCCATCTTGTGGTGGCCATCTTGTGGCCACATGGGGGCAGCCATCTTGTGTGTTTGGAGTGATGGTCAATTTGCATACTGGCCGTGACTAATTAGCATATCTGGTCGTGACTGTGAGGGTGTCATGACCAATTTGCATATTACCCTTTTATTAGTATAGATAGACTATTTGGCAATTCTGATACCAAAATACAATGGAAATAAGTGTTTGATGAGAATGAAGCTAATAGGGTGGGAGGGAACAGCAAAAAAACTTTGCAAGCAGGAGGAAGATGGGAAGGTGATCATTTCTTTCATGAATCCCAAAGGTTGAATCCTAAATTGACAGTGGGGAAGCTAAAAGGCAACTTGATATGCACCAAATAAGTTGTTAAAGATGTAGGAGTCCTCAATAGCTTCTCCTGGGGAAAGAGATGAAAACAGAGTTCATTGAACATCAATTTATAAACCACTAAAGACATGCATTTAAGACTTCCTTCCCACCAAGAAACCAGCTAGAGTAGAAAATTGAAAGCTTATTCTCCAGAGGAAATATGACTCGGGGACAACTGATACAGATGAGATCAGTGGGTCTATATATAAAAGAAGGACATTATGTGAATGATGAAACTGCATGATGAAACTCACACCCTATTTCCCCACTAAACCTGGCAGCAGCCAGGCTTAAATCCTCCAAGGAGAGGATTCTTTCTGGGGAATTTGATGAGCACAACAGTGGGGTGAGGAGGAGGAAAAAATACTGACATGGGAAATGCCCTATGACCAGCCCAGGCAAATCACAGCACACATTGTAGTCCAGTCAAGAAACCCCAACTATTCTTGTAGAGACCAACATAGTGGTTAAGAACATGCCTGAGGCAACAGAAGCAAAAATAAACAAGTGAGACTAAACCCAACTAAAAAGCTGCACAGCAAAGAAAACCATCAACAAAAATAAAAAGGCAACCTATGGAATGGGAGAAAAATCTTTTCAAATCATGTATCTGATCAGGGGTTAATATCCAAAATATCTACACAACCCAGACAACTGAATAGCAAAAACACAATCTGATTAAAAAATGGGCAGATGATGTAAGTAGTCATTTCTCAAGAACAAAAAGATACACATGGTCAACAGGTACCTGAAAAGGTGCTCGATATCACTAATCATCAGGGAAATGCAAATCAAAACCAGAGTGAGATATTATGTCACACCCGATAGAATGGTTATTATAGAAAAGATGAGAAATGACAAGTGTTAGAGAAGATGTAAAGAAAAGGGAATCTTTGTGCACTGTTGGTGGCAATGTAAATTGGTGCAGCCACTATGGAATATATTACAGAGATTTCTCAACGGACTAATGGACTGCAAGTAGCCTGATGGTATATCAGACCCAACTCCAACATGGAACAGAAACTCTGGACTCTGACTATGTTTCTAGCCTTATTGAAAAGATGTAATTCCATGGAAATAATGCTTTCTACCATATCATATCTTCCCGTGGAGGCCTCCAGAAATGCTTATTCCAGCAGCACTCCAAGAACCCCACTCCCACTAGCAATGGAGAAAGACCACCCACGCTTTTCTCCAATAACATAACTACCACATGGTCAGCAATTCCAGTTCTGAGTATTTATCAAAGAAAATGAAACACTAACTTAAAAAGAAATATGCGCTCCCATGTTCTTTGTAGCATTATTTACAATAGACAAGATATGGAAACAACTTAACAAAAATCGTACACCTATGGATGAGGACA